ATGCTTATGTAAGCTGGCCAGTAGCACTAGTCGTGTAATATTGTAGACAATTATTATGCAATCCAAATATTTGCTTTCAAAATCAAACATTATTGTAGCATTTTAGTTTCTTGTCTGATTAATCATAGCATCTACTGAGCATATGATGACTACCAAATTGCCATAGTATCTGTAATGCCCATAGCATTGGCTCTGTGCTATATAGCCATGGCAGTGTGATCTATAGCACCCATAGCACTTTATAGCACTGGCAGGTACCTCTATAGCAACTGCAGGCAGTTCCATAGCAACCATACAAATTGACATTGCTATGGAACTATGGATGCTATATTGGACTATGTAGTGCTGTATAGTCATGGGATTTTTCTCAGATGTCGAGCGACCACCGAGTCAAGCTGCCTATCCGAGCCGTGTCTCCTCCAGGATTCCCTCGCTCTATTCACGACCTCGCCATTGCGGCACCGTTGGTATTCCGACCGCTATCCGCACCTTCAACGCCCCGACCCCCCGAAAGCCAGTACCACGTCTCGAGGACGTATGTCCTCGAACTGGTACCGCATGGCGACCTCCGACTCTGTGGCCGCATGCTCCGAAGCAGCCGGCAGCCTCTGCTCGGAGAAAATCTCTCACCTCACCATACCGACGACTCGACACCTCGGATGTACTTCATCGAAGACGACTTCAACATCCTCGTCAGCATGACGCGAGAAGCGCGATCTGATGCCTCTAGCGTCGACTCACCCGACAACGGCTCCCTTCCGACGACGCAGGTACAGGACGAGGAGCTCCAACAAGCTCTGCTCAACGGCGAGTTCCCCGCCCTGCCCGACGAATACTATGCCACCGCCGGATACGCGATTCCCATCGGGGAACCGCCCGACAGCCCCCTTCGAATCAAAGTCCCTATTCGCGCCGCCTCACCGCCCGATCTCCCCGGCTCGATCCACGACCTCTCGAAACAGATGCCTCGCATCTACCGCCCGCTATCTGCACCGACGACACCCGATCCACCTGCGCGCGACTATCCGACGTCATGCACGTATACTCTCGAACTCGTTGACGACCGCGACCCTAGGCTTGCCGGGAAACATCTCCGGGCTCTGTACCACGATTCGGATAGCACCACTCCCGCATCGCACACCGTTACCGACGACACGCACCGCCTGCTTTTCAGCCGTGGACTATTTGAACTGCTGGCGCGGGTCTCGCATCAGGCTATCACCAACCAAGCCCGCGAACAGGTAAGCCGCTCGACTTATGCTCTCAGACACTCACCGGTACTAACACCGACTCAGGAGCTCGCAGAAATGCAGGCACGACGTCAGCGTCTCGAATTGCCCGACATCGACATGGACACCTCCGATCTTCAGGGCCCCATGCGCACCAACGCACTCGTTCTATCGCCCCCGGTCCCGCCTCACCTATCGCTTCCCGATCCGCTGACGACACTTCAACACGCACCGCTAGCCGGAAACAAACTCTCGCGACACATCGACAGACTCAGGATCGCGGAAGGACCCGCAGCTGAAGACCGCCCGCCCACACCTCGACCGCCGATGGAAGGAATCGAAATAAGTGTAGAGCGTCAGCTCCGATTCCCGCCCACGAACGCCATCCTCAACGACCCCGGCATGCCATACTATCGCACCGACGGACACTTGATTCCCATCGGCGAGTCTCCGACCAGCGCCAACAAGATCAAGATCCCGATGCGACTTCAAACGCCTCCAGGGTACCGCGGTACCGTCCACGCGCTCTCGCAGGTCGACCCGTCCCTCTTCCGCCCAATGTCTGCGCCCCCGACTCCTGAACCGGCCCCGGCAGACTATCCGCCCTCGCAACGCTATCACCTCTTCCTCGACGCACCCCGGGACCCGGCCGATCGCCAGTCCCCGTTCTCCATCGAAAGCTCCCTGGTATCTTCTCAAGACGACCGCCCCTCGACGCAAGCATTACAAGGCTCGGACCCATACCTCTGGTTCGACGAGGCTCTATTCGACTATCTCCATATCACCTACCCTCTCGCCGACGGATGGAGCAACAACATCAACGACCCGGCGACGTGTCTCCCCGGCCCCGAAGGAGGCGACGCACCCGAACTGCCCACCGTCGACGAAGAGACGCACCTTGCCGAGTTCGACCGCCTTACCATCAACTATCCGGTATCCACCGAGCGCACAACGGTGACGCCGCCCCCGTCCATCTGGCGCAATGAGAACGATCCCAGGTACCTCTATTTGCATTCCATCTTATCTCCTGAAGCTCATCCTTTCGAACCCTCTAGTAGCGGCCCCGTACCGGCCTTCTCGCGCTCGGACACGACGACTCCTGCGAGCGAGGAACGTCCTCGAACCCCCGCCGGCCGCAAACGTAGCATGTTCCGGGTCATGTACGACCGGATCTGCGAACTCACCGAGGCTACTCAGTTCACCGTGGCCGCCATCGCCACGCTCCTCTCCAGCCACGCATCGTTCTATCGCACCGCCCGCACTCAGCACGAAGCCATGCAAGCGGCTCTCTCGCAAGTTCTCGAGCAGGTCGCTGCCACATCCGATGCCGTCGCCGAATACGCTACCGACCACCGAAACTTTGTGGACCGACTCACCGGCGACGTACTCGATCTCCAGCTCGACATCAATGCTATCCGCACCAATGTCGAGGCCTGGAACTGGACACCGGAGGACGGCGACGAAGTCGACGGTACGTTATTTCTCTTCACCGACAAACCGCCGCCCTCGCTAACTACCACTCAGTCGACCATATTCTGCGCTCTTCGTCCAGCTCCAGCTCGGACATCGACATATCCGCCGCCGACTACAACGACCTCCAGCCGTGAAGACTCCGCCGCGACGACCCCTCAAGATGCTACGCGCCCCCAAGCATGTTCGCAACCTCACCGTTCCACCCGCCCCGGCCTGCGTCGCTCTCTAACTACAAGAAATATGCGCTCGGACTCGCAATCAACTGTAAGCGATACGTATTCGGACTATGTACATGTACAATCCTCCCCGGCCTCGCGAACTTGTATCCTCCGTCCCATCAGCTCCCCGACTCCTCCGCCTCGGTTATGAAAGTTCCCAGTAGTGTAGAAACTTCCCCTGTTGCTCGGAAAGTCATGTATCCTATGAGAAATGATATCGAAAATGTACGGAATGACTTACCTAGCGAACTACCGGAAATCTTGAGCCTCGGACTTCGAGTTTCTGAAGCGCCACCCACCGGGCTGTCGGAGTTTGAATCTACGGAGGATGAGTGGGTCACCGCGATATGGCTCGGAGATGCGGCCGACTTACCGGAGAATGTGCGAAATCAGCCCGAAATAATGTACCTTAACTCACAAATGTCGTATTTCAGCTCTAACGCAGTACAAATAAGGGCTGAAGACGATATTGACAGCCAGGCCTATAAAGCCTCGAACGGATTGTCTAGTAACTGTGAGAAAGCAAAACCCAGGTATCTAGGCCCTTTCCAACTCATTGGAAAATCAGAGGGCGGGTCGTATGTGATTTGGGAACTTGATGGAACATTTGTCAGGCGTGGTGTAGCACCATTCTGGATCCTACCCTATCAGGCTAGAACACAGGAATATGTCCCGGCAGCCGAACTGCGAGAGGATCCGTTTGAGCGAGATGACGTCATGGGTACCGGATCCGATGAGTTCGAAGCAGAACAATTCCATGAAGAAGACGAGAGTGACGGAGAAGGATAAGAAGGCAGAAGAAGAAGTCTGAATATTCCACTCCGCCCATGAGAAATGCCAAGGGCATCCCTCATGTGAATCCTAGAAGGCTGAATTCGGGAAGCACGACAGCGGCCCCTGAAAGAAGCCACGACAGCCAGACAAACGGCGACCGGGCGCAGTACTCTAGACCACCGAAGAACGGTCGGTCCTACAAAAGGAAACGAAGCGCTGCAAAGCGGAAATGCTTGTGGGAAAAGTAAGGAAGCCTGCACACGCAAAGTACCCGCACGCAATAGTCTGACTGCTCCCCCCATACCGCGCACGCACGAATGGGACAGTCTCCCTCTCACCTCTACGTTCGCCAACGTCCTACCATGCCATACGATGAACTTTCGTCTGGACCGAATCCGTTCCCCAGCCATGTGGACAACCCTCTACCTTCTCGACACGAGAAAGACGACCAACAATCCCTCCATAGCCGCGACCGGCTAGAGCTTCCCAGTGATGCTCAGGATTTCGATACGACCGACAGCGACACCGACTCCACCTCCGTGACCTTTGCCGCCAACCCAGAATATTATAATCACTTAATGACCAACATCGCTCTCTGGCAACGTCGCTCTACTACGACCCCGCAGCCGGGGGACTTGTGGAGCATCCTCGACCCCGACGACCTCGCGACCATGTCATGGGACGAGTGGATCCCCCTCGTATTCGACTCCCCCTCTGACCGCAGCATGGCCGGATATGCGGGACGTGACAGCTATAGCTGGTCCAACAGTCCACCCCTCCAAACCCTCCGTCCCGCTCACCTGCTTCGACGAGAGGCCCTGGACGCTGAGCCTGGTCCGGCACTCCCGGCTCCTCCGTTCCCCAACCCACTTATCCCGCGCATTGGCTGCCTGGACAACGGCAGTTTCTCGATCCTCGCCGTTCCAGTCGACGTGGAGAACCCCCTCATATGGACGCTCACGGCACCCATCCTCGGGGACGTACACATAGGCATACACATTCGTATGGAGTACGCCAGCACCTGGGTGTGCGGCACCGTTCGGTCCATATTCCGACTGCACGACGACTGCGTCACTGTGACGAGCGACGTGCAGGGGAACGCCCGTTGGGGTTACCAACTACTTAGACAGCCGGAATGTCCAAGTAATCGGGTAGAGTCGGTTGGAAAGGCAGCGTCGTCGGCACTTACTTTAGGCAAGAGTACACGCAGAAAAGGAGGAGCTGAGCTCGACTCAAGGTCACTGGACACGAGGTCGACAGCTACGCAATAGGCACCTAATGGACTCAAGGTCACACACTAAGTCCCCAAGACACAAGTTAGCATAGTATCTAGTACAGAGACGGTTACTCACCTAAGTCCCCAAGACACAAGAGGTCGAGATGGGGACTTAGGGCGAGCTACAGGGGTCTTATATACACAAATCCATGGTCCAAGAATAGTACAAGAGAATCACATGCAGGGCACAAGGATGAGTAAGACCGACCACTAGGNGGGTCAGGATTATGAAT